ATTTAAATGAAGGACATGGGACTCTTCCTCAGGCTCTGACATGGGATAACCAGGTGAAGGATGCTGGCAGGGAATGAAACAAACAGGTGCTAGCAGTTACAGATATTTTAAATTTGGCTTGAATTGCCTCGGATGATGAACTTCCCATTTGAGGCTGAATGCTACACATGAGTTTTGTACCTCATCCTGTACCTTGTCCTGAAGTCAAAACCAGCTGCACTGAGTGGGAGGCTGAGGGGAAGGTGCAGAAGGACCGTGGGAGGGCAAAGATTCCAAATTAAAGCTGGAACAGTTAAGAAATGCAGGTAAGGACTATGCTTTAATTATACTTGGGTCATGATTACTTCAAGTCACTGAAAGCAGCAGAATGCTTGGGGCCCTGGGCTCATGGCTGTTCCTCAATAACTTCTGAGTTCATTGGCTGAGCTCTGCCCAGTCCATTAAATTCACACAGGTATCAGAGCCTCTGCAAATATGTGGCACTGCACACAACTTGAGGCTCAAGGAAAAGTCCCAGTGAGGGCTCACATGCATGTGATTAGCAACCTGCAAGGATCAGGCTCCATTTCTACTTGGGCACTTGCTTTTCTTCCCATTCTTCTCTCCTGCTTTTCCCTGCAGGGTGGAGAAATAAAGAACGTGAGAAGAGAACACACTGCTGAGGCCAGACAATTTAAAACTGCAGTCTCTTGCTTCTAGCTGCTCTGGGAGCTCTCTGAATTTAAACTGAGCTTAAATGAAACTGCTGGGAAGAAATGCAGGTCAAGCCTAGGAAAGCATAACCCTGAGGAATGAGGCTTTGGCTTTGAGGGAAAATGGTATTACTGGTTAGACTTTGCAAAATGTGCCATGATTTCATTTGGGAAATAAAATGGAAAGAGGAAAGGTTGAAATGCCTTAATTATGCTGATCTTGACAGTGTGTGTCCTGTCAGAAACTATATTGGACAGAAGGAAACCTGAGTGTTTCTTAGTCATCAGATGCTTTGCAGTTTTTAATTGTTTTCTAAGTGAAATGTTGTGTTGCTGGGACAACTGTATGGCACCTCCTGGGGCCAGGGGCCATTAATAGTGAATATTCCAGTCTGGGTAAAGGTATGCAAACCAAATAAATTGATAAATAACTGTATTTTTGAAGTATTTCTCCATATAGTTATCACTCAAAAGTGAAAGTGCAGTATAAAACCTCCAAAAGAGTGGGGAGCTAGGACATAGATCACCCCCATTTAAGTGAGGAATTTCAATAGAAGCTGTCTTCAGCTTTGAAATTCAGGGCTTAGCTTTTAAAAAGGACTTTAATCATGCCTCTATAACAGCATGGTATGTATGTATGCTTGTCTACTGTGTTTGAAGTCATAAACACTGATGACCTTGACTAATCAACAGAAAAGAAGCAGGAAACAACTAAGAAAAACATCTTTATACATATTTCCCCACATGGTTTCATGTGCGTGCTTACTTATGTGTAACTACACCACAAACTTGAGGTGAATTTCAGGTATTATCCTGCAATGTGTTGCAAACAGGCTGGAATGTAAATGAAATCCTAAACCAATACCAGATGTAGTGTTGTGGTCCTTTTTGAAATGCAGATCAGGACGTTTGGCCAGCCCGTGCTGTCCCAGGGGTTTCTGGGGCTGCAGCCCCTGTGCCATAGCTCAGCCCTGGAAAATGCCAGGGCTGTGTCACACCCTGGAACTGGAGCTCTCAGGGCAGCCTCCTTTAACTCCACTGGCATTTCTAGGTACATTTATACACTCGGAGCCAAACACGTGTGTTTGTCTGCACAAGGTCTCCCTTTTCCTCCTTTGGTGCATAGGACTGGAAGTTCCTGCTGCTTCTACTTTTCTTAAAAGTGGCCTAGAAGTTGAGTAAAAATATTGCAGTGGTCGTTTCCCCTCTTAAGCAGCATCCAAGGTATTGTTTCCTCTGCTTTTCCTTTTCCCAGGAACAGCAAGCTGCTCTGTTGAATGGATTTCTCCGTGAGGTTATTTTGCAGGTCAGGGGGTTAGCTCACTTTTGTCTTTCTACTCAGCTGCTGCAGAAGAAATCCTCTGTGTGTTCTCCTGAATTGTAAAGGCTGGTAAGAAAGAGAAGCCAAAGTCATCCATTAATCCACAGGCAAAGTCCTATTGAAGCTGCTGCAGTGAAAGCTCTCACATGCTGCCCTGGAAATAACCCCGGCCGTGACGTGGTGAGATGACCCTAGGTAAGGTCAGAAGCTCAGTTCTCATTTTCATTTAAGCTTCTGTTTTTTAAACAGTATTTGGGATTGTGCCCTGTGGTTCTGCTGAGCCCTTAAGGCAGCTGGAGCACCCTCTGGAGAAGGGGACTCGGGACAGGCAGGGGTTTATCTGCTAAACTTGCCACTGTCTCCTCTCAGCTTCCTGTTGTTTTGGCTGAAATATTTAATGACCGTGGCCCCATGTGAGAGCAGCAAGTGGTATCAGGACTTCAGCCTAAGCTGCTTTGCAGAGACAAAGCACCTGTTTTAATTCCTTCTGGAAATGGAAGCGATTTGGAAGTGTCCCAGCAAATTGAAGGCAAACTGCTAATTCCTGACTGCCTGTACACTTTCTCAGGAAGCGTGTGAATTGGAAGGATGCGTGTACAGAGCTCCTGGGCAGGATTTTCAGGAGGGCTAAGAGAGGCAGTGGTCTCTGTCCTGGCATCCTTTGCAGGGTTGCAGCTGTAGTGCCAAGATGCATTTAGTGGAAAGATAGTGGCATCAGCTGTTTGTGTGTTCTCTTCACAGGCACTGATACAGTAAAATGTGATGTGTAGGGTTATGGTTAGGCTGGATGCACCTTCCCCTGGTCCTGCTCAGCGTGCCCTGGGAGCAGCTGGCAGCTGCCAGGAGCAGCGCTGTCCCTTGGGATCCAGCTGCTCGCTCAAACGCTGGCCGAAGGCGCTGCTGCTGCGCTTGTGCTCCTGCCGTGGAACGAGCTTCTGGAACGAGTTCAAGGAAAGAGAAGTGACAAAAACTACTGACAGGATGGATTTGGAGTGTTCTGTGGGGTAATCAGGTAACATCGGAGCTCCTTGGAGTAAGGAGCTGTGATTTGGAGCTGAATCAGCCATTCTCATTGACTTGCTTAGGGAACTGATTTTCAACAGGATATTACTGATTTTTACTTTTCATTTTTCATTTCTGCGGTGCAGCTCTTGCCTTTTCTGGGTTTAGGGAGTCATGCCAAGCAAGTTGATTTTCATTGCATGTGAAAGGTAAGGGAGTGCTGAAGTGTGCAACCTCCTTCCCTTTCTCCCTCCAGCCCTCCCTCCCTCCGTATGGAAATGCGTTTTGTGTGAATCAATGACAGAAAAGCAACCACTGAAAATATATTCTCTTTCTTTCTCTGCAGTCATCCCCCTCCCCAAAAACTTCTCTAAGAATGTGACTAAAACCAAAGCACTTTTTAAGTTACAAAGGAATAGTGTTGAGCTGGTGAAGCCAGCTGGAAATGAACATAGAATCCCAGAATTGTTTGGGTTGAAAAAGACCTTTGAATCATCAAATACAACTGTTAACCTAGACATGGAACAGGATTATCATTTTATTGAAGATTCAGGGTGGGTTTAAGTGCACTTTATTTGGCACACATAGTTTTAAAGCTCGTCACCTCGGAGTAGGAACAATTTTATGGCATGTGCTAATTATACAAAATTCACAAACACTGCTTCTTTTCATTTTGATTTTTCACAATGTGTTTTTCAACTATAATTTTCACATCTCACATTTCTCAATCCAGTTTCCTGTGTCTTGTGGTTAAATCTTGACCACAAATCTTGCTCTGCTTTGTTAAAAATAATAGGTGTGCTATATTTCTTCATTTAACAACCTGCTGGATTAATAGTGGCTTTAAAACAATTAAATATGGTTGTGCAGTTTAATATTCCCAGTTTTAATGCACCATGAAGGAGAAATGAGAGGCATTGTCTTTTATGGAGTGCTTGGGTTTCACGTACAGTCTGGCAATCTTTGGCAGCCTTGGTACTGGGATCTTCTTCTTACATGGCTCATGCCAAGAAAAGCTTTCAGTGCAGGTTTGGAAATCAAATGGCAAGTCACTGGGTGGCAAGCACGGCTCAAATTTAACGGGGTTATCACAGCCAAAAAGGCTTTGGGACCTTTGGGATGCACAGCTGGAGCTGTGGCTGGGAGAGCTGGAGGAGGTGCCTTTGGGACCTTTGGGGGGCACAGCTGGAGCTGGGGCTGGGGCAGCTGGAGGAGGGGCTTGGGGACCTTTGGGATGCGCAGCTGGAGCTGTGGCTGGGAGAGCTGGAGGAGGTGCCTTTGGGACCTTTGGGGGGCACAGCTGGAGCTGGGGCTGGGGCAGCTGGAGGAGGGGCTTGGGGACCTTTGGGATGCGCAGCTGGAGCTGTGGCTGGGAGAGCTGGAGGAGGTGCCTTTGGGACCTTTGGGGGGCACAGCTGGAGCTGGGGCTGGGGCAGCTGGAGGAGGGGCTTGGGGACCTTTGGGATGCGCAGCTGGAGCTGTGGCTGGGAGAGCTGGAGGAGGTGCCTTTGGGACCTTTGGGGGGCACAGCTGGAGCTGGGGCTGGGGCAGCTGGAGGAGGGGCTTGGGGACCTTTGGGATGCGCAGCTGGAGCTGTGGCTGGGAGAGCTGGAGGAGGTGCCTTTGGGACCTTTGGGGGGCACAGCTGGAGCTGGGGCTGGGGCAGCTGGAGGAGGAGGCTTTGGGATGCACAGCTGGAGCAGTGGCTGGGGCAGCTGGAGGAGGTGGCTTTGGGACCTTTGGGATGCACAGCTGGAGCTGTGGCTGGGGCAGCTGGAGGAGGTGCCTTTGGGACCTTTGGGATGCACTGCTGGGGGAGCTGTGGCTGGGGCAGCTGGAGGACGTGGCTTTCCGAATTGCAGCGGCAATGCTTTGGAACATGAAATTTGGATCGTAAATTCTCCCTGTCAGTAAGGCTGGAAACCTGAGAAGGTCATGGTCACATGTTCTGGTGTGTCCCAGAGCAGGATCTGGGTCCCCAGTCACCCTGCCTCACAGGGGATTCCATCCTTGTGTTATGTTTCCCTCCAGGCAGGCTCCATGGAGAAGGAGGACCCGAGGCATGAGATCTCAGTCGTTCAGGGTAGTCAGGTTTTAACACCAAAGCCATATTTCAGCAGAAGGAACAGAATTGATTCCTTCCAAACTGGCTCCTATTAAGAAAGGTGATCAAATGCATATGTAGATCAGAAACTAAATAACTAGTAATGATTCCTAAATATCAGGAAATGTCACTGCAAAACTGGGCATTAAAACATGTGCATGGACAGGATCAGTGAAGACTGGGATTTGCCTGGATGATAGCTATTATTCCTAGATGTTGTAGTTAAGTTACACTATAAATATTCCTGCTAGATGTTATAGTTGAACTTACAAGGGGCTTGTCTCAAAAAATGAATATTTGAAGCTTGGATTAAATAGCATTGCAAGAACTCCTGATCAGTAACTTCTCACGGTTCCACAGAGGCAATATCCTTTAAATTTTCTCAGTTTGAATTCTTGCTCCAGTTAAGCCTGACTTGGAAATTGTTTTGTTGCAGACACCTCTGCTGCGAGAGGATGTGGGACCTCATGGAGACTGTGTTCCAGATCAGGTAATGCCATGTTGGACTCCCCTGAGTGTTATCCCTGCCAAATCCTTCCCCCTGGCCCTGTGCAAACCCTTCCAGACAGAGCTCGGTGCCTCTTTGCTTCAGGCCCCAGTCTAGGTTCATAAAATATTTGTGGCTGTCAGTCTCGTGCATCAGCCAAGGTTGCACAGATGCAGAAAGCCTGTCTGAGGGATTTTAGAATTGCAAATGCCTAACAGATTTTTAACAGCTCTATATATGTATACACATATGTAAATACATATATGCATATGTATGTGTAACAGACTAGAAATACACACAAGAAATCTATGATTTCTCTGGTAATAGTGTGCCAAACTGGGCTGCTGGAAGTGAGAAATGTCTTTAATTGAACTTTCAAATCCTGCCTTGATTTACTTGTGTTACAGGACTGGCACTTGCTGTGGTTTCTTATTAGAAATAATGGGGCACCTAATTTTAACACTTTCCTTTTGCTTTCTTACAGTTCTGGCAAGCCTTTGGTAGACTACAAAACAGAGATCTGCCCTGATCCCCAGCTTTGTCTGTTGTGTATCGTGGTTTCTGTGACTTTCAGAAACGTTTTAAGCCAGTTTGGCACAGTTTAATAATTTAGGAGGTCACAGATTAACACTTGCAAGATTGTTTTTAAGAGCATAGAAACAGTTTTACTAGAGGCCAGGACTTTGTATCCCTGTGCCTGTGGAAGGTGTCCGTGGCCATGACCGGGGGTTGGGACTGGATGAAATTTAAACTCTGTACCCACCCAAAGCAGTCTGTGATTCTGAGATTCCCTGAATTACCCTGGACAAAACACCTGGGACTGTGCACGTTCATGGTCTCAGCACACAGAAACAGGTGGCTTGCAGCACACAGGTGTGTCACATTGCAGACAACACACCAGGACAGCAAGGTTGTGTTCAGGCTCTGAACCACGTGCAGTAACGTTGGAGGTCGCCTAGTGAACATCCATGAGGGAAGTAAAATCAGGAATATCTGCATGGTAAGTGAAATACTTTTTTATTTAGAATTATGGAGCTGGCACTTTACAGTACCTGAGCCTTTCTGATTCTGGGCTTTCCCAGAAGTGGCTCTGTGCAGCTGCTGCTGCTGAGTGTGACAGGCTGCTTTGTGTTTTAGGTGAAGAAATGACTGTACACTTGTATTAGCATATGCATTCCCACTCTCTCAGGAAAATTCCTTTTCATTTTTTGCTTTGTGAGGGGGTATTGTGCAGTTCAAGACCTATGTCCTCTGAAACAGTAGGGCTGCTGTGGTTGGAATATTCAAGGTGTCTTCTGAAAATCAAGACTGAAGCTCTCCTCTTTAATGTCGCTGTGACAGAATTTGGATTTAGTAGAACCAGCATTTTCTTTTTCATGTTGATACGATGATTTCTGGCAGGGAGGTCAACTTAAAAATTTTAGTTAAGCTGTCACATGTATTCTGAGAACATTTAGCAGCAGCAGATCATGTGTTCGTGCTACGTGAGGCCAGCAGAAACTGATAGTGGTGGGTTGTGATGTTTCACAGGAGTGGTAATGCCCAAGGTACAACACAATGGCTTCTAATTGGATTTTAGGATCCAGATGCTTGTAACGCTGGCTAATTCTGACCCTGAAAAAATTCAGGCTCAGCTGAACATTGCTGGTGCTTGAGGATGTCGGAGTGGTTGATCTCTGCCTCCTGGAAAGTTGCTTCCCCCTGGGGATGGCCCAGTGGGGTCTGTTACCAACTGGTTATGCACAGCTTCAACTGTGTAGCATCTTCTGGGGAAAGGAAGGTGTACAGAGGGTGCTTGTGCAGAGTTCTGTCAGTGGAAGGTACTGTCCAAGTGGGTTTTGTGTTCCACCCAGGCCAGGCACCATTTCTTTTTGTGTCGTGTGCCGAGCTCCCAGCTGGTGAGGAGAAAAATGGCTTTGTGGTCAGACTCCAGTCCAGTGGGACCCTTGGGAACTGCTGAGACAGGACATGGGGTGATGGTTTTAAACTGAATGAGCATCAGTTCAGGTTAGATACAGGGAAGAAGTTTTTTTACCATGAGAATGCTGGGGCCCTGGCACAGGCTGCCCGGGGAAGCTGTGGCTGCCCCATCCCTGGAAGTGTTCAGGGCCTGGTTTGTTGGGCCTTGAAGCAGCCCAGTCCAGTGGCCCCCATGGAACGAGATGTGCTTTAGGGTCCCAGCTTCTTTAAACCATTCTGGGATTTTAAGACTGTAGCTGTTGGGTTAATGGGAAGTACGGGAGCTTGAGGATGTGGTCCCGGGCTGGGGAGCTGCTCTGGGAGTCCCTGCCAGGGTGTGATGCAGGCAGCGATGGCGGGTGGGATGGATGGATGGACGGCCGGCCGGCCGGCCAGGAAAGTTGTTTCTCGGTGGATTTCAGGCGCACGGAGCAAGGGCGGGGACCGCCGAGGATGCAGCGTGAGCGCAGCGATAGGATTTGTGCCTCGGCGTGTCCGTGCGCGGAGCCGGGCGGGTTCCCCGGCGGTTCCCCGGCGGGCCGGGCCGTGCCTGACGTGGAGCGCCGGCTCGGCCGGAGGCGGAGCCGCCGCGGGTTTATCAGCGCCGCGGGTCGCGGCGGGCGCGCAGCAACAGGCGGCGCGGGGGACCCGGGCGGAGCGCGGCCGGGGCCGGGGCGCGGGCGGCCGCCTCGGGATGGTGCTCCTGCCCCTGTGGCTAGTGGCAGCCGCGCTCCTGGGGGCCCGCGCTGCGCCCGGCCGGCAGGTGAGTGAGGGACAGAGGGAGAGAGGGGACCCCTGCCCTGCCCTGCCCTGCCCTGCCCTGCCCTGCCCTCTCCTCCCTTGTCCCCCCACCGGCCTGGGGCGAGGAGAGGCTGAGATGGACGGGCGGCTCTCTGCTCTCTGCTGTGCTACAGACCGCTGCATCCAAGCAGCCTGGAAGCGGACACGGCATCCCCCGCCCGGGATGGATCCCGCAGCGGCAGCCCCTGGGTCCCTTCCCTCTGGATCCTATGCCCCTAGGTCCCCTATCCCTGGCAAGAGCAAGTACCCAGCCGGCAGTGAGCTGACCATGGCATCGGATCGCTGCCACTGTCCCTGCGGTCACTGTGGTCCAGCTGGCTTTCCCATTCTCTAGCCGAGATACAAAGAGCTGTCAGCTCACTGCTTCCTCTCTGCCCTAGCACCCGTGCTTCTTGGAGCTCATCGCTTTCCTGCTGTTGAATCCCCTCTTTGGCCACCAAACTTACTTTTTGGCACAGTGTCACAATGCATAGAGCAGGTCATTCAGAATCAGGATTGCTTAGCAGCTCTATTTATGTTAAACTTGCTGTGGTCTCCGTTAGTATATTGGGGGGAACAGCTGTTTATTCAGTTAAGGAAGAGCTGCCATCCCTGGAAACCAAATGAAGAAACATATAAAATAGTGCAGCGCAGACCAAGTGATTTTTCAGCCTTCTGCCATTCCCCATTGCATAGTAATTACACTAACAACTTTGTGCATGTGTTTCTCCTCTCTCCTGCAGGCTGGTAAAGAACAGCAGATCCAAAGAGGTAAGTCTTTTTAGCTATTATTCCCGCTATCAAGAGAGAAATAAAAGAAGTTAGCTCAAAGACTAGTTGTTTCTGGAGAAATGATCTGTATGCAGGCAGGCATTCCCTGTGCACCCCCCACCACTGCCACCCAGAAGCGTTTGTAGTTGCAGTGACGTGGCACGGCTTGAATTTGCATGCCCTCTCGTGCTGCGGTTTTGCATCTTTATGTGCCTGTGTTTCCCTTCTGAAATACAAGCCAGTCAAAGTTATGAAGTCTGTAGCTGCTCACTGTTGCCTGGTAAACTGATAGACCTGTGCAGCAAGTTCAGGGTCGGTGGCACATGAGGGAAATGTGCCTCTGTGTGCCCACGGGGTGCTTCTTACTGAGACCTCAGCCTCTGGGACTCTTCCCAAAGACAGGAAGCTTCCTTTAGCTGGGAGGATACACCCACAGTTTAAATTTCAGGAGATCTGTGTTCATTTAGAGTAACTGGCAGTTGGTCCTCCACAGGATGGAAGGGGTAGTGGAAGGATGTGGAAGCTGGCATTCCCAGGGCATTAGTGGCCGTTAGGGAATGCCATTCCATGTGCTCCTTCCCTTAGCCAGTGTGAAATGAGTCAGTGCATGTCCCTGCACACGAGTGCTCTCTGGAGCTCTCCTGCGGTGGGAATGGACCCCAGGCAGTTCTGCTCCAGCTGCCTTTGGACCTCCAGCCCTGAGGTTTTGGTTCAGCTTTTGTTCAGAGAAGAATTTCAGGCGTTTCTGTGAATTTTGGAGGTCTTGTCTCAACTTCAGTTCTGGCACTGTGTGCTTCTGGGCTTAGGTTGGTTTCTGCCGTGATCAGTGAATAATGGGAACAGAGACAGTGAGGTACATTTAAAGCTAATTGGCAAACAGAGGGTTTTTCCAGTGGTATGCTGATGCTGTCTTTTATTTCTAGTCCTTTCCATGAGAAATGGATTGTATTTGAATTTCAAAAACCATAAGCTATATAGGAATGTGTCTTTTAAATTACACAGTACATCAGGCAAAATTCCTGAATCTGGAAAATAACTCTTTGTCCTTTAATGTTCTTCCTTTCTTCTAGAGCTTGGCACTGATGTAGTCAGGAATATTTGGGGCTGAATTTGATCATGTAAATTCTGATTCAAAAAATACAGAACCACAGAATCCTGAAATGGTTTGGGTTTGGAAGGGACCTGTACAATCACCTCATTCCAAACCCCCCAGCCACGGGCGCTGACACCTTTCACTATCCCAGGTTACTCCAAGCCCCTTCCAACCCAGCCCCATTCCAGGGATGTGGCAGCCACCACTTCAAGCCATGGCTTACTCACTTGAGAGCTGTAATGACTTGGATGCAAAACTTGCAAATGCACTGTCCTACTTCTGAGTCCCACGAAGTATTGCTTTGCAATGGTGGTGTGTATTTTGAGTTGGCCCAGGGCTGGCTTCTGACAGCAGCTGATCTTTTCTTGTAGCCTGCAAAGTCACCTAGGGAAATTAAGGCAGCAGCACAGGCATACAGTTAGCACACTTAATTGCCTGCATTCATGCACTGCAGTGAGAGTCATTGTGTGTCACTCAGCTGAAGGTGCTGATGCTGTGCTGCACCTTCCCCTCCCACGCAGCACAGCTCTGTCCCTGCTCAGTGCCACTTCTGGAAGACACCTGTGGCACAACTGTGCCGGGCCCCACCGCCTGCAGGAAGCACCTGCAAAGCACCTGGAGCTGTGCAGAGGCTGCAGAAAACACCACACCGACCATCCTGAGCTGTCTGTATCCCTGGGACAGGTGACAGTGAAGCAGAGGAATGAGGACACCAGAGAGGTGTCCCACATCAGCCTCTCTCCTTGCTTTCATGCATCCAGCTTCCAATGTCCAGATCCCACACAGCCTCATCCCTTTTCAGGTGCAGAGCTGAGTGGGAGTTCTCGAGGAATATGTGCCCCTTTCTTGTCTTCTCTTTCTTTCTGGGCATTCCTGCCACCTAAAGGCAGCCAAACAGAGAGCAAATGGTAGCTCTGGAGTGACCCAGGTTGTTGAGAGGGACCAAAACTGCTCTGTTGTTTCTGGAAGCCACCAGCCAACAATGAAGCAGAAAAGGGTGATGGCAAAACCCCTGCTGGGCCTGTCCAGTTGTCTCCACACCATCCTCTGTTACTGAGCATCACCTTGCTAAGTGACCAGAGCAGCTCTGTGCTCATCCCAGCGTGCTTGTCTGCGGGACAGAAGCGTGATCTCCCAGAACATGGCACGGTCTCTTGATGGAAGCTCTGTCCTCTTCATGTCTATGGCAGCAGGTAACTGGTTGTTCTCCAGTGCTTCCACGCCAGAGCTGTGTCTGTGACAGTGAAGCACTGTCTGCCATCCAGCACTTTGGTTGTGTCACAGCTTGTGACTTCCAGGCAGAAAATTCCATGGTGATGCTCTGGACATGTCACCCTAGATCCAGTGCTTTTGCTGAGGTATCTGAGCTTCCTGACCCTCACATCCAAATGCATCTTCCACGTTCTGGAATCTGCTGGTCATCCCATCTTGTCCTTATGGAATATTCTGGGACTCAGCAATAGGGCCCTGTGCAGAGACTGTATGTATGGGATGTTACCAGGAGTCCCCACATTTCTTTTCTTGGGTAGTTTGGTCTAGACATAGAAAAATAATTTGAACTTTGAGAAATTCTTCCTTTTGCACTGATGCCACTGATTTGCACACAGACTGTGCCTTTGAAATCTTCTCAAGAGGATGTTTAGGCATTTGGCATTCTGCTGTGGACAGCCACCTGAACGGTTTTTGATCTCTGTATTTCAGAGAATCTTAAGCATAAAAAATGCTGTTTTTCCAAATGTAGGAGATAAAAAAAGTTTAGGTTTTCGAACCTCCGCTGAGCACAGCTGTTGTACAGTGCAGAGACAGCTCTTGTGAGGCAGTGGTGTTAATGCTGCAGTTCACTGGGTTTTGAGAGGAAAGAGAGCCCGGACAGCTCTCTTCAGAGGCATTCTCTAGCTAATTATGTTTTGGCACAAAATGAAAGAATGTGGTCTTCCTTCTTAAGTGCTTCCTTTCAACCTAAACATTGTGCAACTGGAGCAGCATTTTAAGGGCAGATTAAAAAAAAAGGATGAAGAAAATTTACAGTTAAGTGCTTTTCCTCTTGCTCTGATCAGCACTGTCAGCTTTGAATTAGCAGAGCAGATCGGCTCTGAAATTTTAGCTTAGGAAAGGGAGCACCTACAGCTGGGATAGCATTTCCTCAGAGCGTGCAGTTTGTGGAAAAAGGGTAATGTAAGTCAGCAGAGGAGTTCAGATGTCGTTGGGATTCAGTCATGTCCCATTTCATTTTAATTGCCTTTGAACAAAAGGCATTTCCTCTTCTAGCTCAGCATTTACAGACTCTGGAAAAGGCTTTCGCTGACTCAAAACCTTGACAGTTCTTATTTTCCACCCTTTGTCCCTACCTTCTTGGGGCTAGCTGGCTGCTCCTATTAGCCAAATAGCCGGGGTTTTTCCCCTCAGCCTGTGGAAATGTGGGAATTCTGCTGCAGGATGTGCAGAGCAGTTTCTCAGCCGTGTGGTGAGCACAGACCTCCCATCACCAGACTGTGGTCTCTGGCACTGAACATCCTGCTTTAAAGAAAGAGGAAAACAAGCCACGAGGAATCTCAGCGAGGTAGAAGGCGGGATGTCAGCCTGGGAATGAAATCCCAGCCTTGAAGCACCGGCAGTGTGAGGATCTGTGGTTTTACTTTGACCCAGTTAGGATGTACAACCCGGCAGCTCTGTCTCCTGGGCATGGCCTGGTGTCTAATTAATACAAATGACTTTAGAGTTTTAATTTGGTCCCTTCTCTAAGGAGACAGATTAACAATCCTGCTCAGAATTCCCAGTGTTTAAAATGGGAATTATCCTAAGGATAATGACCTAATTAGGATGCCAGTTTTAGAACCTGATCTTGTGGGTGTACGGCAAAATAGCTGGAGTTGGCTGCTGCTGTAACTCACCCTGTGGCTGTGGGATGTGGGGTACCAATGGGCTTGGAAATGACTTCTCACTTTCCTAGGATATAGTATTTGCATACCAAGATATTTACAGTGCAAGAGTTTACATGTGTGCATCCTGCTAGTACATACATTGTGTTCCTGTCAGATTGCTCAGTAACTGGCTGGAAGAATATTAAAAACAGTTCCCTGAAGCCATTAGGAACATTTTCCTGCTGAAGGTACTTGTTGAATGCATGAGTCTCTTAAAACCAGCAGCCCTTGCTACCAGGAGAGGGGAACTGGCTACTGAGCTTTTCCTCTGTTTGGTTCTCATATCAAGCGTGATGCACATGGGGAGCAGGTGAAATTTAGCTCACTTAATTAAGTATATTTATTTGAGGAATTCTCAGTGGCACTTGGCGCTGACATCAGAGCTATCAGATCTCTAAGCTTTTAGAATGAAATTGTCAGTAATATCACTCTGATACTGCTTTCACCAGTTCTCCCAGGATGAAGGGAGAGGGGAAGAACTATTTTTGTGGGAGATGTCTTTTTAACTCTCACGTAGTCAAATAGAGAGGCTTAGACTTGGGCTTAGGACCCATTCAGAGCAGCAGTGTGGCTCACAGCTTGACCTGTCCCTTCCCTTACAGCCTGAAAACTGGACACTGAATATCCTGATTGCAGCCAGATTACAGAGGTCTCACTGAAAAGATAAACTCATTTGAATGGATTTGTTTTCCACTGGTGTGAAATTACTTGGAGGCTTGTTGCCTTAGCTGAGGGTTGTGCCATTGAGCTTCTCCAGGATTACAAACAATGTGGCTTTGCTGAGTTTGTGGCTTCTCTCAGCTGCACTAAAGTGCAAGATTTAGGGTCAAATTTGTGCAGATCTGTGTCGAGTTTTTTAATAATTAGATTCTCTCATTGGTTTTGATCTCCATTACTCAGAGGAAAGGCAACAGCGAGTTGCCAGGTAGGGGGATTTGTAGAGGGAAAAGTTACTTCCTTTACCAGTGCTAACACGGATTAATTTATCAGCAGCACGTGATCCGCTGGATTTTTTCCCTATTTCTGTTTCCTGAGAAATTGGTATGCAAATTGTGCTTGTAACCAAGCTTGGCACTTCATTTTCAAAAGCTTGATGGAAGTGCTGGCACAGAAGCAAGTTCTGTGTCAGGTGTACAACAGAGCTGCGTGGCATTCCTTACAGGAGAATACAGAAGGGTCCGTGCCTCTCCTGCAGCTGTGGAGCAGGCCTGAAACAGAAAACTCCCCAGATAAATGTCAGTGAATATTTCAGGCTTTTCTCTGTACGTTTTAGGAAAATCATTTTTATAATAGCAATGGACAGGGAGAAGTTCTTCCCTGTGATGGTGGTGAGGCCCTGGCACAGGTTGTCCAGAGAAGCTGTAGCTTCCCCATCCCTGGAAGTGTCCAAGGCCAGGTTGACCGGGCGTTGGAGCAGCCTGGGACAGTGGAGGGTTGTGTCTCTCCCCATGGCAGGGGGTTTGGAACTGGATGGTCTTGAAGGTCCCTTCCAACCCAGACCATTTTGGGACTCCATGATAAAAGAGGAGCACTGACACGTGCCTTACATTTCCCCACGTTAGTAGCTGAAACGGGAATCCTAAATTGGGATTTTTGGAAGGTGGAGGGGTCCTTCAGTCTTTGGCCTCATTCCCTGCTCCCGTTCTTATTTGTTTTGGTGTCTGGGTGTGTTTCCTGGCAGAGTTCCAGAGCAGAGCCAGGCCCTACGGGTTGGTGATTCCCATCAGCACGGCCGCAGATGGCAGCTACGTGTCCAACATCCTGTCGGCGAGCCGCCAGCGGCGATGGGCGCGGGAGGCGCCGCGGAGCCCCAGGCGGCTCTACTTCAACGTCAGCGCCTTCGGCAGGGAGTTCCACCTCCGCCTGCGGCCCAACGCGCGGCTGGTGGCTCCCCAGGCCGTGGTGGAGTGGTACGGAGACTCTCCGGAGCCTGGCAGCCATGGTGGTAACGCCACCGACGGCGGAAGCGCTGCGGAGCGCTTGTGGAAGAGAGAGCCCCTGTGGACCAACTGCGCCTACGTGGGGGACATCACGGACATGCCCGGAGCTGCCGTGGCCATCAGCAACTGTGATGGGCTGGTAAGGCTGGTTTCGCGGCATGTGTGTCCGCTGTCACGCTCCGGGCACGGCTTTTGGTGCTGTTAGCCACGCGTTCCTAACGGTGTCATTTACAGAACTTTATTTCTTAAATGTCTTAGAAAATATTAGTGCCCTGCTGCTTTGGTTTGGGATAATTTCTCTGAGTTTGATGAGCAAAGTTCTTAATGTCTCGGGCATGTGAGAGAGAACTCAAACCTGCATGTTGTTGGGTTTCCTTTTTTATTTGCATGAGGTGTTACAAACAGGAAAATGAATAATGAAGACATTTTCAGACTTAAAAGGTTAACATAATTTAGATTTTGGTGTCCAAATCGTCCCTCTTTGCTTCTCAGGTACCAAAATGATGGGCTGCTCTGTTATCCAAGAATAGCAGCATTAAGTTTTAAAGGGTCCCTTTATAAAGTAGAGCGTGCTTTTTATTCTCTTAGCTGCAGTTTTGTTTCATCAGGAGGTGTCATATGAGAATTGAGTAGCAGGTAACAGGTTTGTTTTCAGTCTGTCTGTGAACACACAGGTTTCCCTGTGGCTGAGAAGATGCCCAAATCCTAGACTGAAGTCTGAGCATGTTTGGAGCCCACACACCATCCCTTGGTTTGCTCAGGCAGCAGTGAAAGCCCACAATACCCACCTTGTGCTCTGTCACTGGTGGGACACACCTGCAACCTCCAGGGAGATGGATGTCATGGTTGCCCGCCCACACACCATTCCTTGGTTTGCTCAGGCAGCAGTGAAAGCCAACAGGGACATGGATGTCGTGGTTACCTTCCTGCTGTTTGGGACAGGAACCACGTAAGAAAGTCTGCAGCAAGCATCCTTTCTTGGAAGTGGCTTTCCCACTTCCCATAGCTGCCACGTGGTCATGATTTGATTCCATTTGGAGATAAGTCCTGGCTAGGAAAGCTCCCACCTCAGCAGTGGCAGCAGTCACTGTGGAATAACAGCAGAGATGGCTCAGAACCCCCATTCAGACCAAACCTCCTTGAATTGCCTTGCTTAGGGAAAGGAAATACTGCTAGTGCTTGCATCAGAGGTGATAACTAAAGTCATTTTGGTGTGTTTTGGGGGTTTTTGGTGGGTTTTTGATCTACTGTGTTCACAAAGGCCAAGCAGACCCCTGGCTGGCAAGATGGAGCTTCCCACAGAAGGGTTCTGATGAATGAGACCCTGGCAGCTGGGTTCTGGCAGTAAGCCTGAATGAAGCTGTTGTGTTGAGACAGCACGTGAAGACAAGAAATTGGATTAAGTGGAATGAGATTAAGGAGTGTAGCTCCGTCACAGATTGCCGTGGGGCTGGCAAGCTGCTTGTGGTGTGTTTTCAGGTAAATGAAGCCAGAGGGGGCTCCTGGAGGGGGAGTGGCTTCACAGTGACAGAGGACAGGGTTGGATGGGATACTGGGATGAAGTTCTTGGCTGAAGATGGGGAGTTGCTGGCACAGGGTGCACAGAGAAGCTGTGGCTGCCCCATCCCTAGAAATGTTCAAGGCCAGGCTTGATGGGGCCTGGAGCAACCTGATCTACTGGAATGTGTCCCTGCTTTCCCATAACATCCCATGTGCTTCCCATGGTTTTGGTGACTGGAGCAGGAGGACATGGGCTTTTTCTTTGAGGAGTAGTGGGTCAGTGTTCCTGGGTCACTCTTGTGTCTCTGTTCATTTTGACCTTCGCTGTTTTAACATCTCTTGGGGCTCTAATCATGTGAATGTGAAAGAAATAAATAATCCTGAAGATTTATTTTAAGGTTTTTTCCTTCCAGGGTAGCAAAAGGAACTTGCAATTACTGTTTCTGCCCTCTCTGTTGCTGTATTGTGTGTCTCTCAACCCAGCTAGAATATTTGAGCCTCAGTGTATCCTAAAGACGTGAGGAGTGAGAAAATATGGCTTAACAGAGACTGGAACAAGAGTGAGAAATTCTAGGGGCTTGTGTGTGCTGGAAGGATTTATCTTTGACTTCAAAGGAATGTAGACACTCTCCAGAGTAGCCAGCTAGGCTCTGAAATCATGGAGAGAAAGTGGAGGGAATCACTGGGGTAGCAGTTTGCACAACGTAGAACTTGTAGAAGAGTTTGGGTATTGTAAGCAAGAGAAAAAGAGCATTTGGTACTAAATTTTGGTTGTTTGATAGTAAATATGTGGAATAATTTGGAATAATTGGCATTTGCACTAGCAAAGTAAGATTTTGCCTGTAGTCTCTTCCTGAATCTAAACTTACATTTAAATCCCCAAATACTTGAATGCTTTTGTTTTGAAATAGTTTGCATGTCTACTTTTGCAGTGGAAGTTGTCTGTCTGCCATCAGTTCTGCAAATTCCTATTTTCACATCTGCTTAATCTCCCTTGGAAATGACCCTGTTTATTTAAAAATCCCACATGCATGTGCCTGCACTTGTCATGGCAGAAGAACCCTTCATTAGTCACGGAGGAGCTGCCTCTTGTCTCCTTCACTGTGTGTCAGAATGCTGGTGCTTCCACAGGTTTCTGCTGCTGTTTGGTCCAACTAGCAGTGTTTATTGTCAGAACCCTTCAGGAGTGGAAGGTGCCAGCCTCAAGAAAGCACTACAAATGGTTTAGGTTGTAAATGGAGAGAAGGCAGCAAGCCTAACACTGAGAAATAGTGGCTTAAAACACTTTCTACCTGTTAATGTATAGAAAATCACCTCCAGCTTCCTGCCTTTATAACAAAATCTGAGCAGGTGTTGGTGTGTGATGCCTTCAGCTTGTACTTCCACTCTGGACTGTGTTCCTGTGGATGTGTGTCTCTGTGCTGGAGCTGGGATCTGGCTTGTGCTCACATCCGTGCCACCCCAAGGGGCAGGGCTGGTTTCTGTTTCTGCTAGGAACCTTTCTTCTTTCAAATGAAAAGGCTGGGCTCAGGACAATGAACCTGTAATCTTTGACTTCAGATTCCAAGTAAATTGTGACTTCTTCTTTGTTTGTTGGAAGTGATTTGGAGTATTTTTGGTTTTTGGAATTCCATGGCCTTCAAGCCCAGGGCAGCATACGGTTGCTGGAAGCACAGCTGTTTGCAAGTGGAAGATGCTCAGGAATCTGCCTGCCTTGTAGTGTTCAGCTGCCAAACCAGGGAAATCCTGGAAGACAGATCAACCATCAAGAATTTAAAAAAATACCCAAACGTGCTTAGATCTGTCATTTGTGACAGATTATTCCTCACTTGCTCATTGCCATCCCTTTTTCCAAGGATATGGAGACATGAAGAAACACGTCTGTGCATGTTTCACAGCTACTTTCCTTTGGCAAATCTTTTGGAAATACAGGCTGGAGTATCTCTCAGACTAGAGCTAATTGCACAGGCTTTAAACTCGGTTCAGGAAAAGCTTTAACAATCTGTAGGAGTTGGGGTGTATGGGATCCAAGGAGTTTCAGGGCATTTTGATTTGTTTCAAATCCTTTTTTATTGCCGTTTTTTCATCAAGACTGAGCTATTAAGGCTTATTTCTTGTTCCTGTGTTAGTTCTAAGCTAATATTGCAGCATGACAGAATTCATTGCTGGCAAGACAGAATTCCTAAATGGAGAAACATCTTTCTAGGAGGTGATGGTGTTTTATCCGATTGTTTTGGAATAGCATTTTGGAGACAAACGCTTGAATTGCTGCAGAGCACCTGGTTGTAGAAAGTCAGAAATGTCAGAAACTCCTGCAGAGTTTGGGATTGAGGCTGGGATTGTCTCCTCAGGCCTGCAGGTTTCTGCCAGTCCAAGCTGGGAGCTGTGGTCGAGGGGACATCTGGTCATCCACGCCTTTCTGGGAGGGCAAAGAACAAGGAGAGCAGAACAAACCCCAGGGAGATGGAAGGAGGAGAAACCCTGAGGAGAAGGAAGGCAGGACAAACCCTGGAGGATGGAAGCAGGACAAACCCTGGGAGATGGAAGCAGGACAAACCCTGGAGGATGGAAGCAGGACAAACCCTGGGGATGGAGGGCAGGACAAACTCTGAGGAGAAGGAAGGCAGGACAAACCCTGGGAGACGGAAGCAGGACAGACCCTGAGGAGAAGGAAGGCAGGACAGACCCTGAGGAGATGGAAGCAGGACAAACCCTGGGGATGGAAGCAGGACAGACCCTGAGGAGAAGGAAGGCAGGACAGACCCTGGAGGATGGAAGCAGGACAGACCCTGAGGAGAAGGAAGGCAGGACAGACCCTGGAGGATGGAAGCAGGACAAACCCGGGGGATGGAAGGCAGGACAAACCCTGAGGAGAAGGAAGGCAGGACAGACCCTGGAGGACGGAAGCAGGACAAACCCTGGGGATGGAAGCAGGACACACCCTGGGAGATGGAAGCAGGACAAACCCTGGAGGATGGAAACAGGACAAACCCTGGAGGATGGAAGCAGGACAAACCCTGGAGGATGGAAACAGGACAGACCCTGAGGAGAAGGAAGGCAGGACAGACCCTGGAGGATGGAAGCAGGACAGACCCTGAGGAGAAGGAAGGCAGGACAGACCCTGGAGGATGGAAGCAGGACAGACCCTGGAGGATGGAAGCAGCTGTGGCCGCGTGCTGCTCTGGGCAGATGGCAGAGGTGCCTTAGGCTGATTTAACACTCCGATATTCCTGCTCCCCGGCCCTATTGTGCTCTTCCCACAGTAATTCCCTCCTTGCCATGACCTCCCCTGCCCTCTGTGCCTGCTCTCAGCGCTGGTGTTTCACTGTGCCTGGCAGCATGATGAGCTGGGTGAGATGGGCTGCAGCTGGACTCCATCCCCGTCACCTCTCCGCTGTGCAGCGCTTCCCACAACCGAAGGAATCCATAGGAAAGAGGATGTCTGAAAGTTCAGGAACTCCAGAAACTTGGGAAAATGCATTCTGTCATTTGGGCCTTGGGGCTTCTTGATTAAAACCCAGAGGGGAGGAGCATTGGTTGAGAAGGGACGCGATGGGGACGGAAGTCAAGTGTCAGTATAGTGTACGGTGATAAACTCTAGAAATTCTTTTGTATGTCTGGTTTGCTTCTCCCTGAAAT